GGATGGACGAGCAGCATGGCAAAACTTCGTCCTGGTCCTAATCAGGTCAAGAACGCCGACCCTGCAGAAATTTCCAAAATCATCCAGATGGCCGACTTTGATCAAATGAATTCGATTCGTGCCAGAGTCGATTCGATTGTCAAAGACAAAGCCACCGCAGAAGCTCTCAAGCCGTGGTACAATCAATTCTGCAAACGGCCGACCTTCCATGACCGGTATTTACAGACGTTTAACAAGCCAAATGTCACACTAGTTGACACCCAGGGCCGCGGTGTCGACTGTATTACTCCAAAGGGGATAGTAGCCAATGGGAAAGAATACGAATTGGACTGCATCATCTATGCCACCGGCTTTGAGCTTGCTACGGACTGGTCTCACCGTTCGGGACTCGAGATTACGGGCAGAAACGGTCTGACAATCACGGAGAAGTGGCGTGATGGTGCGAAAACGCTTCATGGCTGGACGACGAATGGGTTTCCCAACTGCTACTTCGTCAGCGGCATCCAGGCCGCGTTGACGTCCAACTTTATGCACATCACAAACGAGCAGGCAAAACACATTGCCTGGGTCATTCGACAGGCCAAAGACCGAGGCCTGAGGACCGTCGAAGCGTCGACCGAAGCCGAGGAGAAATGGGTCGACATCATCATCGAAAAGGGCAGAGGACGCTACGAATTCTTGAAGCAATGCATCCCGGGGTACTACAACGACGAAGGCGACATTACCATGAAGCTGAGGAGGAATTCGGTCTACGGAGACGGGGCCGTGGCGTTCTTGGACATCACGAAGAAGTGGAGAGAGGACAATAAGTTGGAAGGTCTCCAGGTGACCGAGGAAGCTGCTTAGATTTGTCGTCAATCTGAACAAAGCAGTAACCGTCATGACTAGGTAAGAATAGAGATATATATACATATATAGCGAGAGCGACCCTCAACTTGAAATGAGAAAGAATTCTGTCATAGGTGAGTTGAAGAGGGTTCATCGCTGCATAACACTCCGCTTGATAGGATAAGTCGTACACCCTTCACAAACCCCGTCGTCATCTAAGAAGTGGTCGAGTCGCCCCTTGCTCGACCGTACCTGTCTGGCCGACAAAGTATCGAAGATGGCCCAATAATATACCTCTTGTCGCGGGTGGCGTTGTCGATGGCGTCGGTCCTAGATGTGAAATCGCAGAACAATAGGTGGGTGGTTAGTCAAAATCCTCGGTTCTATTTCTATTTCTCATAATTAAATGGGCCTTGAGACTTGGAAATGGAGATAGGAAAAGAGCACATGTGGCTGGCCACTTTAGCCCAACTAGCTTTAGAGCAATACCCACAAAACGAAGAACAGAGTACTCGGTACGTTGTTTGTTTGCTTGAATTATTCCGACAGGCTGGCTTTATATTCGAAGAGCTAGCTAGCTATGGCTTAATAAACCCCTTCGTGGAATGTTACTTCTTCTTGGCCCCCACATTATTCGCTATCGCTGCTTCTACACAGGCACAGGACATCCGAAGCTGACGGCGACGGTTCCTCCGGGGCCAAAAACGGCAATCAACCCTTCGATGGCGGCCCAGGTACCCATTCCACAGCAGGCCAGACCGAGGAGAACGTAGATGAAAGCGATTGTGCTGCGGAACCACGTCTTCTTGTACCCCCTGATCCAGCGCTTGATGCCGTCATCGTGTCGGATCGTCTCGCGGGTGGCGGGGTTGAAGCCCTCGCCGGGAAGCTCGGCGGCCTTGTGGATGATGCTGCTCAGGTACATCATGCCGGGGAAGGTGTAGGTGAAGTTCATCATGAAGACGGCGCCGACGAAGCTGGTGATGCCGTTGAGGTTGGGCACCGCGCCCGCAACGATGAAGGCGAGAATCCAGTAGCAGGGTCCCAGGAGGTACCACAGGATCTTGCCCTTCTTCTCCACAATCGAGGGGAACTTGAAGATGGCTTGGAAAACCTCGAGGTACACCGTCTTCATGCCGATGTTGAAGTACATGATGATGGCGATCCAGCCGGAGAGCAGCCGGAGGACGTTACCGGCGGTTTGCAGGCCGTACGGGTTGACGACGTTCACGATGTTGTTGGCAGAGTATTGGCCGTAGAAGGAGTAGACGAAGACACCGAAGAACATGTAGACGATGCAGATGAAGGCCTGGGCCAGCAGCATGCCTTTCCAGAAGTCGAGCGGGTGTCTCATCTCGGAGAGGAACGCGACGAAGAGGAGAGCACCAGCATATGCGTAGACCATGGTGTTGACGGCGTTGAATGTAGCCGCAAAGCCTGGAGATTGCTGCTGGTACTGATCCGGTGGAATGCCGGCAAAGACTTTGATGGGCTCGATGGTTTGGATAAGCGTGGATCTCGTGATTGCCGGGTAGTATGGCGCAAAGTGTGCAGCCGCGACCATGCTATTGTAATGCTGGTCAGTAAGTGATGTTACTGGACGGAAGAAGCAAGACTAACCAGATGATGAAGTTCACGATGTTCATCCACACAGCGGCATTCGAAATCCATCCAATTTTCCGCAGGCTTCGGATAAAGCCTCCGAGCATGCCGACCGCCATGATGACAACCATCATAGCTACAAAGCAAACCTTTGAGTGAGCGATCTGCTCAATGTTCAAAGCCTTGCTGAAGATCAAGATGGCCACGGTGCAGAATTGTTGGAGTGATTGGGCGATGTTGATGAAATGACGCATGGGCTTGCCGAAGAGGCGCAAAAACGGATCACCAAAGCTCTGCATGGGATACCGAGACGAGTCGAGATCGAGGAAAGTCTTCCAAATAACCCAGCCGCCCCAGGCAGCGAAAATACCGAAGATGAGATAGAGTGCGACTCCAGTGCCGTAGCCCACGCTAGCAAAGACGAATCTACACAATTGGTCAGTTGCGATCTGTGTCAATTTCTTGGGGAGTACTTACGGAGCACCTGACCAACCAAGAATATCAGTGGTAATGAGGAAGAACATCTGGCCCCAGCTCGCCGTTCGCAGCGCACGAGCAGCGTTACGCCATTCCGCGTCAGTAACTTTCAGCGAATCGTTACGCGGGGGATTGTCGACATCAGTGACGACCCCAGCTGGCTGCTTCTCGTGGAGCTGGGCTATAGTCTGAAGCCTGGCCTCCTTTTCCGCCTTGGCCTTCTTTCGACCCGATTTGGAAAAGGCGTTCTTGATCGAGCCAGCAAGAGGAGAGCCGTGTTCGGTTTGGAACACTTTGTTCTCTTCAATCTCCATCTCACGCTCGATCTTGGCCCAATAGACGTATTCTTCGTACGTCACGGTGCTGTCAGTACGAGCAGCGAAACCCCACGTGCGCTCCATGACCGCCGGCTTCTCATTGAGCGAGACGGATGGTTTGCGCATCTGCTGCTCGGTCACAGCATCCAGCTCCGGGGCTGGATGTGTGACTGGGGCAATGTGCTCCATGGCTGTGACAGGCAGGTGGAGTGAGTGAGTGAGAGAAAGACAGAGACGAGGTCGTGGAGTAAGAAAGTAAGGCCATTGAAGGAACAGGAGCAACTAATAAAGGGCCTCACGGACGGGATTGTCTGATAGTACGAGTATCCCTCCTCGGTCCTTCCGATGTAACCTGAACTGAACACACGAGCATCCGGGTAGTGGCGAGATAACCATTGGTAGCCGCTCGAAATTGCGCACGCGGTGTTAGCGATATCTCGTGTTGCTCTTGATAAGATGAAGCACTCCTTGGGTGGTACAAGCACTACAACAAGCTCTGCAGCGATTGGTAGGGTGACCAATGAGGGGCCTGACGACGGGCGGTCGAGGCTCTCGGTTACTGCCATTTCGAGCGAACAAACAAGGCAGGTAACCGGTGTCAAGGTCGCAGCGTTCCATTGCAGGTCACTGACCCAGCGGTACTCGGCTCATGATTCGACAGATAGCAAAGGATCTGCGTTATAGACTGGATTGACCCCGGACGCACTAAAGGCGAATCATTCCCCAGCTGGAAGGTGACAAGCTTTCCAAGACGCCAAGCTTCCTTCGATTCGGCGTCGAACGTCGACGAAATGCTTGGCGAATCTTGGCAATGGCAAATCAGACCTCGCCTGTTGGAAATGTCGCATTCGATAATAATAATAAATGGGGGCGGCCACTGCCACGGCAGCCAAGCTTTAACGCGATATCAGTCTATTATTATTGACCTGCTCGTACCTTCTCCACCCCCATGCGCAGACGTGGATGCCCCAGCATAGGGAACCACTGAATCCATACCCTTGCTTCGGACTTAGGAGAACGGAGCGTGTAAGACACTGGGATGATCGATGTAACACATCCCTCCCTCGGATTTGAGCCGGAAACATCTGAGTGGGCCCAATCACCCCATCGTAATGGTGTTATCCTGTATACATATAGAGTCCTGATAGCGGTTGGCGTACATCGCTGCCAAGGCCACTGTCAAATGATAAGGATAGAGAGAATTGCACGACGATGAGAGAAGATCGGCGGTAATGGCATATGGACCAGCCATCTCGCTAGAAACCTGTTGTCGTTGTGTCTGGTAGAGTACGAAATACGGAACAGGTAAGAAAGGGGGAGGCAAGGAGGTTACTCGTGATAAAGTGGCGGAGTGGGGGGGGATTGGAAGCCTAAATATCATTTTGCCATGCCAAGCCGGCGCACGTTCCTATTTGAGCTGCACATGTGACATGGCTCGGCATCTTTCTAACCGTCAACCCTGGCCGTGGGACAGATCGCTGATGAGATTGACTTGTGTGGATATCATCTGGAGGCGAGACTCCGCGCACAGAGATACATCGATTACTCGCGAGTCGCATGTCGGCGTCGTCCGGGGAGATTTCTGGGTAACGTGGACCTCATCTACCAAACACCCGATTCCATTGTACAGGAACGAGGAAAGAGGTCAGTCCGTTATGGGGCCTTATGGACCCCTTGGTAAGAATCGTTTCCCCCAGAAGGGGTCGCTTGTGTGTTATTGCCTCTCATCTACGGACCAGATACAGGGTACTTCCTTACATTCCAACCAACGGATCGCTACGCCGCACGAGGGATTTCCTGCTGATCGGGGTGCTTCGCATGCAGGATCTCCACCGGCGCATCGACATGATAGTTCATTGTCTCTCTCAAGTCGCCGAGGAACAGGGTGCAAACCAAGCCCAAGATACCAAACGGTGCAGCGATAATGAAAACCACCCTCAATGAATCCGCAAAGGCCTGCTTGACGGCAGCGACACCTAAACTGACGATCCCGGGGGTCACCCCAGGGACTTGTAATAGGGCGGTCTGGTTATTTGTAGCAAGGGCTTCCACGAAGAGAGGGATCGATGTGGAAGGGAGACCACCCGCAACCGCCGCTCTGCCTACATCGCGAGGCAGATTCGTCGTCAGTTTATCGTTGAAGGCGGCCGAGAAGATTGCCGTGAATGCAGTGCCAGAAAGGGCGCGGGCGGACACAATCACAGCCGAGGCGCTTGCGATGAGGCGATGAGGAACGGCAAGTTGGACACCAGCAACAATCAGGATCAACGGAGCGCCAAAGCCTAGACCAGCCATGCCTGCGAACATCAGAGCATTCAGCGAATCCCCGGGTTGGATGGTGGCCAGACCAATCATGGCGCCGGTATATATCGTCAACCCGACGAACATCGGCCGTCGGATGTCCTTGAACCTCGTGCTCACGAAACCGTAAACGGCAGATGAGAAGATACCCACCACCCAGAATGGCTGGATGTAGGCGACTGCCAAGAATGGATCCGTCTCGAAAAGCGATGTCACCCTTTTTGATGCCCCTTGTTAGTTTGGAAAGTCAATCTATGTTTTCCCAGGTAGGATCGCTTACAAAGGAGGATAGAAGATGCTGTAGGCGAAGATTAGGATGCCTTCAATCAGGACCAGGGCGCAGCAGAGGATGAAGGTTCGTCCTTTTGATTTCCCACCGCGAAACATGTCGTGGTGCAGAATCCCCGTTGTGGTGCCTTTCCACTCGTACACGCCAAATGCCACGATGCCGACGCATCCGAGGACTAGTGTCACCACCGTCCGCACATTCGACCAGCTGTAGAGCCCTCCACCGAGGGACAACCCGGTGAGCAGCAAAGTCAAGCCAGTTGTTATCAAAACACACCCAGGCAAGTCGAGGCTGGCAATTTTCCTTGCGAGTGGCAGGCTTTCAACGGCAGTGTGCCTCTTTGGAGGGCGGTAGCCGACGATCAACCCGGACAGTGTCGCGATCCACAAAGCCATCTGGAACCAGAAATAGTTGCGCCAGCCATTCAACGTGTCCCGCTTGATCAGAGCGCCCATGGTCAACTGGGCGAGGACTGCGCCCGAGTATGCGAACACGTTGAGCAGGCCCTGGGCGAAGGGACGCCACTTGCGCGGCAGGATCTCGCTCGGAACCACGTATGCCAGTGGGAGCGTGGCGAATCCGATCCCTATCACCGTCTGCCCCGCAATGAGGCTGGCCATGCTGTGGGATCTGGCCGAGACTCCAGAGCCCACCACCGCAGCAGCACATCCGACGCACAGCAAGAGTTTGCGGGCTTGAAAGATATCCGACGCAGAGGAGAACACGGGCCCTAGGACGGCTTGTACCAAGGACAGCGAGTTGGGGATCCAAGTCTGCGAGGCAGGGTCATGGAGCGCTTCTCCTAGATACGAAAGCTTTTGGGGGGAGGTGGAAGTCAGCAACATCGTTGAACGGTAGAGGTTCGCACTGACTATTCTGACTTACCACCGCAGGCGGCCCCTGGAATGCAACGATCGACACCATCTGGAACAGACAGATGGACCCAAACGCGACCCACGTCCGCCAGTGAAGTTCGGGATTGAGATTGTCTAAGTCGTAGGCCAGGTTTTGTTCAGATTCCGAGACCTGCTCGATCTGACTCTGCATCACGGAGCCGTCGTGCTTCTCAGAAGGTGCTGCTTCGTCCATCATCGCGACCTCGGGCATCTTTCTGGTCAGAGCCACTCCTGTCCTTGTTTCTTGTTGAGAATCTCCCAAAAGAATGCTGCCGTGGCCGTCAGGAGGAAATAAACCTGGCGTCTGGAAGGGTAGAAGAGGTTGCAGTCGAGGCTACCATACCTGTAGACCGGTAGGAAGATGCTTAAGATGTGTTGATATACATTGGATTGGGGCGGGGTATACCTTGCCAGGCGGGCGACTCCATCAACCCCGGATTTCCAAAAAGACCCGCCGGGCGGGATCTGGGATTTGAAGACAAACCCCGGATTCCCGCCATGACTCGATCGATGGACAAGAGACGCGTTTACCGAACAGCGCGCCAAAACGCCACCGTGATCAAGTGCTTGCTTGGTAATTGCGACGTCGGTTATCGTACAAGTCCGCCGTGCATGTAGATCCTGATGTCTAGCCAGGTATGCCGTTATATGTAAGGCTGAGGAGATGCCAGTATGCGGGACAAAATCCCGGCCACGTGATTATACTGCTTGGTAAATCATTCCGGTGCTAGCTAGTGTAGCTAATGCACAGGTTCTCCCTCCTGCTCCTCGTCGAAAGGCACTTTACAGTACTGTCCTCTCTCTGATCACCATGCTGTGGTTATCCCAAAGAGGCACACAATTTCTTTGGTCTCGCCTGTCCTGAATAGAAGACTGATGTATTGTCTATAGGTCTAGTAGGTGAGGTAGGTACACATGTCCACTGTGGTACGACGTGACTAAAACCCTGCCGACCTCCCCTTCAACTACCTTTCACCGATACTAGCCCTCACAAAGCGACGTATGAAGAAGCAGTCTGTCCTCAAAGAGGGGTTTTTGTACCTAAACTCCAGAGACTTGATATATTCAGTGGTGAAGCTCTCGCTCACTCCCTCCACGTCACTACTTTCGTGTAAACCCATTCCTCCAGACCTTCACGGCCATTGAACCTCCCAAAGCCACTTTGCTTGACGCCTCCGTGCGGCAAAGCGGCTTCGTCGTGAACACTCATGCTGTTGATATGCACTGCGCCGGTCTCTATCGCCTTTGCGATCCTCAACCCTCGCTTGAGGTCTTCGGTGTAGACGGCCGACGACAGGCCATACATTGTGTCGTTAGCGATCTGAAGCGCTTCCTCGTCACTGCTCACACTGAAAAGACTCACGGATGGGCCGAAGGACTCGGTGTAATATATGTCCATGTCTGGCTTGATGTTGTCGATCACCACAGGCTTCATTTTGGCGACATCGTCACTGAATTGCTCATCGCCGTGAATCACTCGGGCACCTTTGGATATGGCATCGGCAATCATTCTCTTGTTCTTCTGCACGGGAAGCTTGCTGACCAAGTTCAATGGCTCGCCGTGGTACAGTTGGTCGATGGTTTTCTTGAGGATGTCTCTAAATGCGTCCACCACTTTCTCATGCACAATAATCCGCTCTGTTGCCATACAAGCCTGGCCGCCGTGGATGAAAGCCCCCTGGGCGCAGCCAAGTGCAGCTTTGTGAAGATCCGCGTCTTCGCAGACAATAGTTGGCGCCTTCCCTCCGAGTTCCATGAGCACCGGTTTGAGATGTTTGCCGGCAAGGGTCGCCACAATAGCACCAACTGCGGACGAGCCAGTGAAGTTCACCTTCTTCACATTTGGATGTGAAATTAAGGCCCTCGTAATCTCCGAGGCATCTGAGGGCTGGTGGATGATGGTATTGAGACATCCGGCGGGAAGTCCAGCCTCATGGAACGCACTGGCAATTGCCCAGTAGATAGCTGGGGCAGCCTCAGGTCCTTTGAGGATCACCGTGTTCCCTGCTGCCAGAGGCATGACCAACGCGCGGACACCTAGGATGCATGGTGCATTCCAGGGAGCGATTCCTAGAGCCACACCATATGGCACTCGATACACCAGTCCTTCCATTCCCTCTTCTTCAAGAGTAGGTATGAAGCCATTCACGTTCTGAATGAGCCCTGCCACGCTTTTGCAGCATTGAATCGCCAGTTCGTGGTCCTTGGCGAACGCTTTCGCGGTGACTCCAGTCTCGTTGCTGGTATAGTGAAAGAGTTCGTTCTTCCGCCGCTCTAGAATAGCTACTGCACGGAGAATAATCTCTCTTCGCTCGTTGGGCTTCGTTTTGGACCAGGCCGTAAATGCTTTCTGGCTCGATTCCACTGCGGCTTCCGCGTCTGTTATCGATGCCGTCGATGAATGCCAAAGTGTTTTGCCGGTAACAGGAGAGACGACTTTAAAAGTCCGCGAGGTTCTCACTTGGCGACCGTCAAGCCATAGGGGCACAGCGGTCGAGGAGTCCACTGTGAACTGAGTGAAATCATCAGGTGTGCCTCCACTACCCATATTGAGTGGTCTTCTCGAATGATTGATTGATCGACAGATTGGTCTCTGAGTGCTCCTTCAGCCTAGTAGAGCTTTGCTTGTTTTGCTGGTGCACTGAAGAAGAAACCGGTGTCACTCAGGGCTCAAGCCCGCCATTGAAGAGGGTTTTGTCTATACTAGTGAATACTTGTTGTGGAGCGTTTGATGCTCCCTGGTTTCCGGAGTACCGGTTCAAGCTCCCGGGGAGTGACATGACAGGTTGGAAGCATCTACTTCCGATTGAAACTCGGCTTTCGTGGAATATAGGCGTTGTTTTGGAATCCCATGATCCCGGTGTTGCGGACGGGAGGTCGGGAAACTCGAAAATTGCCCGGCTCCACCCACAACAGCCTTCAGAGCCTCGTCCAGTGCATCTCACGAGGATTTATTATGTCCTGAATTGTTATCGTTGCTGCTGCTGTTTCGCTGTGAGTACGAGTTTTCATTCGCAGCTGCGAGGACATAATACTGTAACGGAAAGCCAGCATCCAGCCTACTCACCTCTAATCCTGCCATAAGTTATCACTTACTATGGTACGTTCTGGCAGCCTCCTGTTCGTTGGAGATAATGTATTGACCAAAATCTCGCAGGCTCAGCAAATTGAAACCCCAGTTCTGATCGTGGGCGCAGGACCCGCTGGCCTCATCGCCGCACTCAGCCTCGCAAAACTTGGTATAGCCTGCACTTTGATGGAGAGAAATTTGGAAACAACTCGATTCCCCAAAATGAACATCACAAATTGCAGAACCATGGAAATGTTCAAACGACTTGGAATTGACGAAAAGCTCAGGGAGATAGGTAAGGCGCCCTTGGGCCCTGAGCCGACTGCACCTACACGCTGTTGATCTCTATAGGGGTGGCAACCGAATACTCGTTTGATTCACTCTTCAGCTCTGGTCTTTCGGAAGGTGGCGAGGTCATCACGAAATGGGTACGTATCCTTGCCCGAATAGGAACCGCCAGTTGATCAATGATAGTCAATGCCCTCTCCTGACCAGTGGCGTGAAAGGGTCAAACGACAGAACGACGGCACTCAACCTCGAGAACCCTATCAGCGCTGCTCGCAAGCCGTTTTCGAGAAGGCCTTTAAGCCATTGATCCAGGAGCAGTCGTTGGTAACTTCGTATTTCGGCCACAAATTTGAATCTCTCCAAGAAAAAGACGACTATGTCCTGTCACGGTTCTCGGTGCTTGGATTGTCCGAGGAGGTTGTGGTGAAGAGCAAGTATGTGATAGGTTGTGATGGTGCTGGCAGCCGCGTGAGGCAAAGCATCGACGGGAGCCTTGTTGGAGGTCCAATGTAAGTATCTCAACTCATTTGGTTCAACCGGGGACTAACACGGGGTCTCCAGCTCTGCAGCATTTTACCTTGTACATTTCAGATCCACCGATCTGGCCCGACTTCGAAAATGTGGACAATTCTGGCACATCTTTTTCACTAGCGGAGCGGCAGTGATCGCCCAAAACGAGATTGACACTTGGACCGTCCATAAACCCATTGCGTTGGACGTTGACCACACCAAGTTGGACCCTTACGAGACCATCGCGGAGGTTTTGGGCGGCTCGACTGGCACTCCTTATCCCATCAAGGTGGATGAAATCCTGGTCACAAGCTCCTGGCGTCCCAACATCTGCATCGCCGACAAGTACCGCTCCGCTGGTGGAAGAATATTCTTAAGCGGCGACTCAGCACATCAGAATATTCCGACCGGTGGCTATGGATACAACACTGCAGTGGGAGACAGCGTCGATCTCGCATGGAAACTTGCCGCTGTGTTGTCTGGATGGGGAGGGAAGTATCTTCTTGACTCGTATGAGATCGAGCGGCGTCCTGTCGCTGTGCGCAATATCGAGTGCTCGGGGTTACATCGTCAAACCCACGCCACCTACGTGGAGTGGGTGAGGCAGGCCGGTCCACAGACGCTGTTCATGCAGACAGATCAAGGGCAAGAGCTCCGTCAACGCATACGCGACCATTTACAGCAGAATGATGGGGAGAACAAGTTCTTCGGGATTGAGATGGGTTACCGGTATAATCACTCACCTGTCGTGGTGCCCGACAATGAAGTGGATGAACCGGTCTGGAGGGCTGAAGATTACATTCCTTCGACTTGGCCAGGAGCACGACCTCCGCATGTTTTCCTCACTGGCAATGAGACAAGCATCTTCGACTTGTTCGGACCCGGGTTCTCGTTGGTTGATTTCACTCCCGACAGGAAATTCATCGATGCGTTCGAAAGGGAGGCGATCTCGCAGAACATTCCCGTGCGCATGATCCACCTCCCACACGAGAAGCACGCCCGCGGGTTATGGGAGCGGGATGCTGTTCTTGTTCGACCCGACGACATGGTCGCCTGGCGCGCCAATGTCGATGGACTTGTACCCACGAACGTCGCTGCAATCCTCCGAATTTCGGCTGGCAGGGAAGTCTCGCTGGAGCTTGGGACGGCCGAAGCATTCCAGAAGGAACAGACGGCGTTTGTAGACAAGTCTGGGTTTACGGCGACCATTGGAAACGTCAAACAGGACAAGATTGAGAAGATGTCCGTGTGGCAGGTGGCTGTTTAGTCCTGCTAATCATAGTGTAATCTGGAGAGCTATTTTGTTTCAGGTCTTCCAAGGCTGACGTGGTGATGGCGACCGTTCTAGCCGAGATTCATCGGTTCATAACCTAGGGTTTATGTCAGTATTGCAGGACTCTCGTGCGATAGAATGTGGTGGAGGTCAGACATAGGTATCATCTCAACGCTGACAATTCGCTCTTGAACCAAGAAAGAAGGCGTCATTGATAGGCCTGGCGTAGACCAAACACCCAGACAGCAGACATGCCAAGATGATTGACCAATAGATACTGAGGGATCCGATGTGTTGACACGACTGGAGCTGGTTACAAGGGACGAAACAAACTCATGCCGGCATTTTGGCTGCGGCCGCGTTTTGCCGTGTCGAGGCTGCGCGGCGTTGAACTTTTACCTGCCACGTTTCTCACTTCCAAATCCAACTTCAATCTCCAAGCAGGTCCGCGTCTCCAAACATGATCACAAATCAAATACTTTCATCTCTTTGGTCAAATGGCGCTACGCTGTCCTAAGACCCTGTTTTGAATGTCTCTTATTCGGTCCACTGCCAGGGTATTCGGTGCACAAGTCGCTGTCATACCTGGGGGTCTCCTCTGACCATCAGCCACCCTACTCCACCCCTGCCTTAGCGAGGACTACGTTTCTCGTCATGTCCAATCGGATTGCCCTTCAGTGGACAAGCACGGCCTCCTGCCGCACCCCAGACTAGATCCTGTCGGCCGTTCCCCAGCTCTGGGGAGCCAAAGTCTACTCGGTATTAGACTCGTCTCTCCGTCACGCCCGCATCTTTCCAGACACTTGATCAGTCCTCTAGACTTTAAGGGAGGATACTACAAACGAGGACTCATTGTCCGTTCGACATGGACCAACTAGTCCCGGCCCAAGATGTTGCGTCCACACAAGCAGGAAAAATGATCCGAGCTTGCGAAGGATGTAACAGGAAAAAGAACCGGTGTGATCGCCGGAAGCCCATGTGTGGGCTGTGCCAGCGCACTGGCGCCCTCTGTGTATATCCATTGAAAAGAAAACAGCCAACGCCGAAGGTTCGAAAGGCTGAGCGACTCCCTTCGAGTGTCTCGAAACGCTTAACAGTCCATGATCTGCTCAGTCTCCTCAGCCCGGAGCTACGCCACAAGCTTCTGCCAACTTCGGAAATAGACGTGTTGTCTTTGTCGAATGGGATTGATCAAACTGCGACCGTTTCACCGAGCACTGCGCGGCTTCATGAATGCACATCGAGATCAGGACTCATAGCGACCCCTGCGCCAGACCTTGACCCGGAGGCAGCTGGGTATCAGGCACACTCCGTGCCACGAGGCACACCGAATGCGGATCTTGATACCTGTACACAAGAGCTCTATCTCCCCGAGATGGATCTGTCCTCATTGGCGCAAACGTCTACCACGCCCAAACCCAGTGATCAACACTTCACCAATGCCGGTTTCCCAGACGTCGAGAAATTACCATCTGCTAGTGACCAAGTCAAGTTAGTTGATGTGTATTTCTCCCATGTGCAAGCGTGGCTACCGCTCCTTCACCGTCCACGGTTCTATGCACGGTACATTGCGCCGTCCCTAGCCCAAGGACAATCTCTTCAACTTGACACACTGCCCTTGGAGGAACAATTGCTGTTCATGGGTATCTTTGCACTCGCCGCAAGGTACGTTGATACAGCACCCTTTGTCCATACTCCCCCACCTCAGCGTGGAGAACGCTTTTTCGTCGACGCGCATCGGGTTTACGAAAAGCTGCGGCAATCTGGAACCCCGCCTAGTATCATTCTCCTGCAAGGATCTATACTCCTGGCATTTTATTGCTTTACCTCCGGTCCAACGGGGTTGACTTGGGGTCTTGTGTCTCGTTGTGTGGAGCTCTCATACGAATTGGATCTAAACTCCATCGATGATGACCCAGACGATGCGTCCGACTCCAGCCCAGAAGAATGGATCACCAAAGAGGGGTTTCGGCGCGTCTGGTGGCTCGTTTGGGAGCTTGATACCTTCAACTCAACAACCTCACGGCGACCATGTATGATCAACAAGAGACGTGTAACGGTACATCTGCCATGCTCAGATGAAGCCTGGTACGCTGGGACACCTATTTCTTCTGCCAAGTTAATACCCGAAGCAAAGGACGCTTGGAAGAGCCTTGAGAATTGCGCCAATCAAGATGAAAGAGCATGGTACTTGGTGGTAAAGTACCTTTCGTCGATAGCACACGACCTGGCCCAACTGCCCGCAGGGGTGCTCTTGGAACAGAAACAGGAATTGGGATTGTCTCTCTGCTGCCTCCGACTTGCCCTGCCTCCCATATTTCATTTGAGGAGTAAACCATTTTCATTCGACAACACCAATTTTGCTCGTGGAAATTGGATCACTGCCTTGCATCTCATCCTTGCCGGCACGAAATTGACGATGTCGACAATCATCGAAGAGGGATCCCCAGGTAATAGCGAAGAGGTAGCCTCATCCAGCGCTTCGGCTTCAAAGGCACGCCTTGACGACATTACATTGATAGTCAGCAATTGGCCTCCGGACTTTATTGCTGTGGCGCATCCCTTTATCGCTTGCACGATGATGCCAGTGTACTCGCCATCGAATTCGACGACGGCGACAAATCCTTCCTCTCTTCCCCGCGACCTCTCTAGATTAGTTCTGGCCCACTATGCCCGGGTATGGAAACTTGGAAGTGTTCTTGAGAACGTGAGGGACATGCTTCAACGGCCGGAGAAGCTGTCAGAAAACGAAGTTGAACTTGCACGCCGTTTCGCAGCCGTCTTCCCTCGCAAGACCACCAAGAGGACATACAAAGAACATCGCCCGGTATGCTCATCAAAGATCTCGAATGGCTCTTCATCGTCCTGTGAACCTTCACCCGAAAGCATCATTCAGAGGCACAATGTACTTCCCGAGATTGACCAGCAGAGTTCTGATTCAAACCCTGAAGACACCAGCGAGACGATACAGAATCCACCTTCCATGCGTCCGGCTGATGGTGAAGACTTCAATGTCTTTACACTCGACTCATCAATTGCAGAGAGGGACTGGCAGGCCGAGCTTGACTATTTTAGTGCACCACTCGATCCATTCGTAAGCGACCCGATTACTCTGCTGTGAGAGTCTACTACCCAGGCCTGAACCTCGTTGTCTCAGAGGCCCATCAGAGCTGGCTCAGCCATGAAGACGATGTCTTGTGTATGATAGGTATAGCAAACTACGTGGAACATTCGTCTCGATATCTCCGACCTCTAAATCCCTCAAGCGAGAGGCTGGGGTGTCGGACTGAGCAAAACCTGATCATCAAAGTGAGGCAAGGACGGGCCCAGGCCCGAGAATGCCTGACCTGGCCTCGCATAAACCCGTCCAGTCTGGCCCACGCCCAGTCGGCGACTATACCTGAAGGAGCATTTCTTTGCAACAACATCTCCAGAATAGAGATCAATCTTCTCGGAACACAGTGGGGTTTTATAGTGGGGATAAAAATCAGGAAGGGCATCAGTCATTGTTGTCTCCGGTCAGCATGTGGCTTCGACTAGAGACGCAGTTTGCCCTCGGCGATTATGTCCCGGGAGCCGGAGATCTCGAACTCCGGCCCCGAATCCATGTGCTTAGCAACCATCCGGATCCGCACTCAAGACACCATCACCGTTGATAACCGCAGACGACACATGTACCTCCAGTCTTTCGGGGAGACTTGTGAGAGACCGAGAGGACCCCTCGATGCAAGCTTTCATCCGCGGTGTCATGGCGTTTTGGAAAGCTGGGGTAGATTGTCTCATGCGGAATGGAGGGCATGCTTATACTCGGTACAATTCCCCATGTCACAGCACTGCGTGAAGCATTTTGCTCAGAACTAGCTACACCACCCCCAGAATCATGTCGCAGGGTTGCAGATCGTTGCGAATAGCAGCTTTGCGGTCACGCGCGGCTGTGCGTTCATATGCTTCCCTCGCGACCCCTGCGACGCGGAAGTTGAACGTGCCCATCGACTTTGGCAAGACTCCTCTTCTGCACCATTCCTCAAAGACGATTCCGCAGACGCCTGAGCTACCACAAGGCGGCTCTACAACACGTCTAAATCTCTGTCAGGCGGTCAACGAGGGGCTCAGAACTGCTTTGAGGGAAGACAACAAAGTGCTCTGTTTTGGTGAGGATGTCGCGTTCGGTGGTGTCTTTCGGTGCACGGTGAATCTGCAGTCTGAGTTTGGGCCGGACAGAGTCTTCAACACACCCATCACCGAACAGGGGATTGTGGGCGCTGCGATTGGGATGGCCGCTGAGGGTGCGAAACCGGTGGTCGAGATCCAGTTTGCGGATTACGTCTTTCCAGCCTTTGACCAGATCGTGAATGAGGCTTCAAAATTTCGATATCGGGAGGGTTCGACTGGTGCCAACTTGGCGGGCATGGTGATCAGAATGCCCTGTGGTGGTGTGGGACATGGTGCTTTGTGAGTCTTGCCTGTCGATGTTTAACCTTTCGTGCGAAAACATGCTAACTCTTTCCACCATCAGATATCACACTCAGTCCCCCGAGTCGCTCTTTTGCCACGTACCAGGTTTCAAAGTCGTCGTTCCGCGGTCACCCTCTCAAGCGAAAGGCCTTCTTCTCTCGGCTATCCTCGAGTCCAAAGATCCGGTGATTTTCATGGAACCAAAGATCCTGTACCGCGCCGCGGTCGAGGAAGTTCCGGATGAACTCTATACACTTCCACTGTGTAAAGCTGAGGTGCTGAAGCCCGGTGCTGACCTGACAATCATCTCTTATGGGCGACCACTGTACAACTGTCTTGCAGCCATTGAGGCGGCGGAGAAGACTGCACCGGGGACGAGTATTGAGCTGATTGATCTCCGGACGATATATCCTTGGGATCGAGAGACTATCCTGAACAGCGTGCGAAAGACGGGGCGTGCCATTGTGGTCCACGAGAGCATGGTGAATTATGGCGTTGGCTCGGAAATCGCTGCAACGATTCAGGAGCAGGCACTTTTG